GAAACCAGTACCAAACTTTTTTTCTAAAAGCGTAATATATATATATTGATGCTCTACTTAGAGTTATTTGGATCTTACTTGTTCCTGTTTCTAATGTTTTATTTCTCAGTCATGACCATTATTTATTAAAATTATCGTTTTGCGCTATATTAGACCAAGAGATCAACGAAAAGGATCTAATGGATTCCGAGTACATGGATTATAGAGGTGACGCCAACCTCGCAGATGCCATGCTACCCCACATATAGATCCTATTTAGGCATTGCAGAGCTACTGCTTTACTTTATTTTGATTGCATGACTAGGTAATAGGTTTCAAATAAGACGGGGGCTCAAACATCATGCAATCAAATAATCAAGCAATCAACATAAAGTAAATCCGCAAATGATAATTTTAAATAAATAACAGTGGTAACTACGAGCAATAAAACAATAGCAACAAGAACAAGTACAAGATCCAAGTAACTCTGAATAGAGCACCAATAGATAGATTGTATTTCTACAAAGAAATTGGTACCAGTTTTGTTAATTTTCAATTTAAAATGAATCATTTATGGATTTTTAGAGATTGAACCATATTTTTATCATTTTAGGAAAATACATATATAGGTAAAACCACCTTGAAACATGGTCGAGGGCCAAAGTTGTCCCACTTTTAGTAGTTCGATGGCCAAAAATATCTGTTTGAATCCAATTTGTTATTGAAATTGTTCCAAAACACTAGTAGGTAAAGATGAAGTTGTTATTCTGCTTTCATGGCATGAAAATATTTTAGCTGGCTTTCTTATTCCTGTAGAAAACGTTGCCTGTGTTGGTTGCTGTGGTTGAGCAGCTTGGAGGAGCGTTCGGGGAGTCTGGATTTCTTGTCATCCCTTGTGTTGCGGCACACATTAACCAGGTTCTCGTTGCCAAGACATTATTTCTATGTCACTTGCATTCTCTTAGGGGTCATTTCTAATGTCTGTAACACTGCAGATCATTATTGATTCTATCATAGTAAATTGGTGGCGCCAGAAGGATCAAGAATTTACTTCTGCAAAGTAACTTCAGAATTCAATTTCGGTGTGTAACACAGGGAATCAGTCAGGAGCTCTTAATGTTTATCTCGTGATGCCAAAGCAAAATGAGATCTACATGTTCAGTTGTTTGGAACGAAAGCAGTCATATCGAGATTGTTTTACACAGAATTGCTTTCGTGCCTGAAGAAACGATATCATGTGTTTCCTCCACATCTTCAGATTTCTTCCTCTCAATGTTTTTGGATAGTTGAATAAAAAAAAATGAAAAATATAATTGTACTTGTCATGCAGGAAGTTGGGTAAAAGTAAGAATTGCTGACTGCAAAGCTGATTTTGTGAAGATCATTATACGCTTTAATTTCATAGTATCCTTCAGAGTGATCTTCACTTCAGTTTTTCTCGTCACCCTCTGGGTGGCCATTGAGGCCCACTACATGGTACTAACTTTTTCTTTATGTGGATGCTAATAAACCTTTCAAACTATAATGGATTCTGGGAGCCATGGCAACGACAGCTGGCCTGTAGAGCAGCAATACTATTATTGTGTTTAGGAGGTGACTGGAGCAGATAACTGTGGGATGGTACTCCCTCTTCTAGCCACAATTATGTTGCAATCTAACCTCCTATTAACTGTCACTTTCTTGTTCAGATCATCCAACATATCCATTTCATTTCAGAGTGCAGTCTTCTGTGGTGTTGTGATCATAGCAGAATGCTGATCCAACTCAATCTGTACAAAGCTCTTGACCATTGAGACCGGCAATTTTTCGGTAGTACATCACATCAGGTTACATTGGCAACGGTGCATCTTTCTTTGGGCAAAAGCTGGGATGTGGGATGAGAGATTCAGCTTTGCTGTTGCCGCCTATGACAATTCTTTGGGCAAAGGCTGGGATGTGGTATGTATGAGAGATTCATCAGCCTGCTGTTGCTTTTGACAAGATGCAGACTGCCCTGATTGTTCACCTGGTGTTGTGCTGGTGCAATGGATATGGACGGATCCGTGGGGCATGCTCCAGGAGCCGACATCTATGTGCTGCTGTTCTAGGTCCTGTTGGAGGAGAACAAAGGCTCCGGTGCTGGTACTTGCGGTGCAGGGCAACTTGGTACAATGACACATGGGCTTGTACACACATATATGGTCATCTCCAGCTTGTACTGTTAACTGTTGTGTCCTGTGCCGACAGCTGTTGTCCACTTTACTTTTTACAGACAAGAGTGTTAACTGGAGCAGCAAGCATATCTGATGCTCCACGGTAGCATATTCCAGCCATGCCAAATATCGGCTACCATGTAAGGTCAGTACTATTGATCGAAGCCAGGAGCTAGCGGAGTAGAACTAGAAGGCGTGTGCAGTGTGCTTGGCGGGCAGCAGTAATGCATCAGCTGATTCACCGCGGCCTCAAGGCTCAAGCTAGAGCATAGCTCCTTTCCAGTGCCTGAAGCATGTCCACTGGAGTGGTTGGTGCAGTCTCAACTTTGAAGAGCTCCGATGCGTGCACCGGAGACTGGACGCATGCAGCTCTACCCGACACGTCTTTCTTTGGTCCACACATCGGAGTCCAGGATGTCTGCAGCTGCAATTGACAATGGGTTCTTGGCTACTTATAAAACAGAGAAATATTATAAAGGGAGCAGGCAGATCACATCCGCCTCGTAGATATTCATGGGTGTAGATAATTCACGAATTTGTCTGTGGTGTGCTCCCGATGCTCTCCGTCACCCTGTCGAGCGCGTAAGACGGGGACGGGACGGGGGAGGCTGCCGAGATGATCTCAGGCATCGACACGTCGATAGGCTACCGGGTTTCGTGTGGAGCTAGGCTCTGAGGAATGTCCTGTGGCAAGGACCAACTTTATCCATGCCATGTCCTCTCCCGCCATGTTTGTCTTGCGGCCACCTTTACGCTTGGGCTTGTTTTTGCTTATGCGCCGTTGTTTTCTCGAATATCAAATCAGTCAACTGTACTGTCAACTATAGCTTATCAGTTAAATAAATCTAAACTAACAGACGAACAGGGCAAGGTGGCCGCAGGACAAACATGGCGGGAGAGGAACATGGCATGGATAAAGTTGGTCCTTGCCACAGGACATTCCTCAGAGCCTAGCTCCACACGAAACCCGGTAGCCTATCAATGCTCTGTTTGGCTCCAGCGCCTGTCGAAACCCGGTAGCCTATCAATGCTCTGTTTGGCTCCAGCGCCTGTGCACACTTCCTCGCCTGCAAACAGGGCAAGGTGGCCGCAAGACAAACATGGCAAGTTGGTCCTTGCCACAGGACATTCCTCAGAGCCTAGCTCCACACGAAACCCGGTAGCCTATCAATGCTCTGTTTGGCTCCAGCGCCTGTGCACACTTCCTCGCCTACTTGGTCTGGTACACGGACACGGCCCTCCCGGAGGAAGATGAGTGCTGTGGTAGCAGGTTGCCAGCTGCCTCCGCGTGACTAGCTGCCTGTTCATTTTTTTCACTTCTATTTATCATGCCATCTTCCTTTTTGGAGCACATGTGCTGTTTATGTTTGCATTTACCTTTGCCTCTACCTAACTACTATTGTATTACCTTTCCATAGGTCTTGCTTTGCTTCACCAAGCACTCGTACTATGCATGTGATGTCCTGGCATCGGAACAGGCGTATTACCACGTGATGTCCTGCTATGAATTTTCTAGGAACTGTTCACCGGCAACGAAATGGCCGAGCTCAGGTACGGTATTCCTGCAACACGCATATTTTCACGAATTTGATGCGTTGCTCAGTATACTTCCACTGATATGTGACTTGGCGTTGGCTGGTACTACACTACAGTATTATAACTATCTATTTTGAATTATGCTGCATTAGATCCAGTAGCTCAGGTGTCAATGTCATTCTAGTGACGCACTCCTAGGATTGCCTTTGCTGCTGATGCCATTCTCGTGATGTTGGCTCGAGCGCTACTAATTCTTTAGTGAGTGAAATGGATCTTAACTACTCCCTCTGTTCCAAATCGTTCCGGATTTTTTAGATACGCTGCATCTAGAAAAGCCAACAATTTATAATTTGAAAAAAGTATTAGGTTTAGGCTATAACTAACTCCTAATAGAAAGAAGGTTAATTGCAACAGTTGCCTGAGCGTGTTGTAACACAACCATCCTGCCAGACATGGTCTCTTGTCACTCGTCGGTTTCTTGCTTTACTAGAAGAAAACACCTAACACGTATAACTTTAATTAGAGGCATGCCAAAGACCATAAATATGGTATTATACGACTGTCTCACAAATGAAAAAGGTCACCAGGTATTAAAGAGCTTATCGCTATTGTTCAAGAGAACAGCTGAAAAGCAGTTGACATGACATTGAGTACTAGACTGATTGCTTTCTGAGGTAAAGGAATATTTGTTCATAAACTTATTCAGATAAATGCACTTGTGATCGTAGTGGCTAGACGGCCCATCTGGCATATATGCAGAGATGCAATTAAGAAACCAGCATTGCAAGATCGTGTATTATAAAACGACTGAAACGACGTGAAAAAGGAGGCCTCGAATAGATGATGCATTCTTGTTTTCAGCTTCATGTATTGCACACCCAGCTGCGGATACGATCAATATAATGGAGCAACCTAGCTAGCGATACGGCCGGTGAGAGCAACATCACACCCGAGGTATATATATATGGACGTCTTGTCATTGAAAAGTGGGAACGCAGGATAAGAGTTAAATACACTGTCGGTTCTTAAACTTGTGGCGCTGTGCCACTTAGGTACATAAACTCTCAAAATCAAAATTTGACTCCCTAAACTTGTTAAGCGATGCACCGTAGGCTCTGGTTAGCATAATTTGTTTTAAAAAAACACCCTGCTATAAACATGTTCTACGTCTGGCTGGCCACGGCACTCGCGACCCGCCGTCCGTCTCCCTCGCCCGTGGCGTCCGCGGCCGGTCGTCTCCCTCGTGGTGCTGTCATAGGCGTCAGACGCGCGGGGGCGGGTGCTGTCACAGGCTCACAGCACGCATCGGCAGTAGTGGGCTTCTCCTTCTCCCACGCCTCCTGCATGCGGTTCGGGAGGGAGCTGCGAGACACGAGCAGGAGCCTTTCCCACGACCGCTGTTGCACGGGATCGCGCCCGGCGTGCGCCTCTAAACGCCGGCAGCGACACGACGGCGTCGCAGCAGCCACAGTGGACTCCCGTCCTGGTGACCACGCCCGAGACAACCTTGCCCTCGCCGCTGTTCACTGGCACGTAGAACACCTTCTCTCTGTCGGACAGGAAACCTGTGAAGATCAGCCATGTCAGTATGGTGCGCCTCTTCACTGTTGTCGTTGCCGCCACGACCGTGCTGCTCCTCCTAGCGACCACATTGTGCCTGCTGCCGCCGCTCGGCGAGGCCGCGGTGTTCTGCTTCCTTCTCCTCCTGTTGCTTGGCGTTGGTAGCGGTAGAACAGGGACGATCTGAAGATCGTTGCTAGCAGCGGCTGCTTCTCGATGACGAGTTTTTTCGCGTTGGCGGCGGCGATCGTGTCCTTTCTACTGCCGTTCGCTGCCGCTGCTTAGCGGCGGCCCTCTGCCTAGGCCCTTGGACGACTCCGGCTTGCTGTTGTCCTTGTCCTTGAGCGCACGTTTCCTGACGCGGCCATTCACCGCAGCAGCGACCTCCCCTCCAACCGTGGTCGGCATGGTGAGCACAGGCCACAGGGGGCAGGCGTTGCACCATGCCATCTGTTGCTGACGGTGCCCTCTTCTTCCTGGCTAATCCGGTGGCAGTCGTGGCAGCATCAATAATTTGATGACGCCAGCGATAGCACTGCCGTGGACGACGACGACACAACGGCCGGCAACGCTGCTCCCACTGGCTCCTGGCGCCCCAGAGGTGAACTATGCGACGGACGCCGTGGGCACGCAAGCTCCGGGAGCGTGCTTCTGTACCAGGGCGTCCGCGACCTCTGGGACAGCATCGTGTCCACGGAGGCGTGGCTGGCTGGGCATCCCGGCAGGGCCAGCCCAATCCCATTTTCTCGCGCCGCCGCGAGGGAAGCGGCGCTGGGGACCACGCAGGTGGACGGCCGGCCGCGAGGGAAGCAACTGCAAGGGAGAACATGTTCACATCCCGTTTTCGTGAGGAAACGGACGGCCGAACGCCGCCGTGCGCGTGGGATACGGAGGTAGAACATGACTTGGGGTGCTTTCTGTAAAACTTCATCCTAGTCAGCATCTCTCGAAGGGGTATGGACCTGTGGCGTACCGCTTAACAAGTTCAGGGGGTTAAATTTCGAGTTTGTGAGTTCGTGGATCTAAATGGCACAATGCCATAAGTTTAAGGGCCGCCGATGTATTTAACTCGTGGGATAATATTAAGAGAAATGGAAAAGGAAACGATGGCATTACAAAAATAAGCAGCAAGCTGTGTAGTGAGAGGATCAAACAAACAAAGCACTCTTAACACCAGCATATATGCATGACAGAATAGTAGGCAATGTAATACAAGAGTCATGGCCGTTGCTTTCCCTTCCCCTTCACCACTCGACACGTACTCCCCCATGGCCATTATATTGCTTAAGTTGTCATCACAACTATGCCCGGTCAACATTGCAACCCTAACAATCATATTGTCACCTTCACAAATCATCTAGAATGTGCAGCAAGTACTAGTAGGTTGTAGCTGCTAGCTCATGGGGTCACAGGCAAGCAGCTGATTAGCCACCTTTTTATTTGAACAAACATACATTAAGACTTAAGAGGAAAAAAAAGCTTGCCCAGCTAATTGCAGATCAGGTTTGTAGGGTCGTTGGTTGGTTGGTCTTGTTTCGTACGTTCAGCCGTACGGTTAGCGCCGGCGGGCGGCGGTCTCGCGCTGCGCGTTGAAGTAGACGGCGGCGACGGGGAGGCCGAGGTCGTTCTCCTCAGCGAACTGGCGGGTGCTGAAGCGGTCCTTGGACGACGGCGGGTTCACAGCTTGCCGGCGCTTCTGCCGGAACAGCACAAAGATGAACCTGTGGATGCCAATGTTTGGCTTTGGGGTCTCGTAGCTCACCACCTCTCTCCCTGCATGTATATATATGCATGGCAAGCATTATATGGAGGAGGAAAGGAGTGGCGAGGGGAAGGAGAAGACAAAGAACCGGTGATTGATTTGTACACCACAACCCTTTTTACCCATTTTTCGCCCTTCTGAGGCTCTGTACTCTCCCCACCTCAAAACTAGCAAGAACTAAAGCAACACGTACAAGAAAAAGACTTACCAAAAGAAGCATCAGTAGTCCCAGGAATATCAGTAACAATCCTGCCAGTGCCAGTGTGTGGTCCAACGAAAAAACACACCTGATTAGCTACATATATATTATTCTATAAATGCCTTGAAGTAATATGAACATTTATAAGACCATGCATGCCACTCCTAACTCCGGCTTTGTAAAATATATGCATGCCCGAATCTCAGTTAGCGCTAGCTAATCATGGCCGAGAGTCAAGCTATAACATACACACAGTCTTATTTAGTCTTCTATGATTACTTTATCTAGGAAGATACACTATCTTGCATTGATTAAATTACCAGTGAAGGTGCTCCCTCAGGCAGGGATCACTAGGTCCTGGAACATCAGGGTCAGTCATCACCAATGTGAAGAAGGACCTGAGGTCGCCCCCTTGGACCTCAACACGCGGCTTGGCGGCGACTGCCGAAGGGAAGAACTCGTGTCCGTTGAAGACCTGCTTGTTGGAGTTGTAGGTGACCACCATCTTCACCGTGGGGGTGAAATGGTCCAGCACCTCACCAATCACTTTCCCCACAATGAGAGGCTCCAACACCCTTGACATGTCTAACAGTACAGTTGAAGCAAATCTCAGCTGAACCTAATAACCTACGATGATCAGAAGTTGGTGTTTTGTGCTTCCTAAATGGTGAGGTGCAAGAGCTTCAGTTTGCTATGTGCGTGTGTGTTGTCAAGAGGCCAGGGCGTTGGCCTTTATTTATAGACATGAAGAGACGAGCCTTATCTATCTGTTTGGCCAGCTATATATTCCGAGCTGAGTGTGATGGATCATCATCATATATTACACCTTTCAAACAGAAGTTCTTAAAAAGTTCAGGTTGAGCGTCTCTATCGTCTTGCACGGTGGCTACTATTATAGATTAACATGTTAGATTGTTATATAGTCCCAGTCATTTTCTTCCAGGTGTGATGTCGACTCTGCTGGATTATAGAATAGGAGCATTTGCATGCCGCACAAGTTCCTTATTATCCAATATATTCCAATTTCCACATCTATCTCAGATATTTATTCTCTTCAAAAGATTTATGGGGCGTTCAGACCGAAATAATTAAGTGCCTAGAATCCACATTTGGCAAAATAGGAAAAGGCTCTTTATTACATCCATATTATTATAGTTTCTCCGGTGGACACAGATCAACTGATCAGGTCCTTAAGAGATCAAGCGAGCACCCGGAAATATGAGGTCTGTGCCATATACATGCTATACTTCTGTCTAATGAGGTGTGAAATCAGTTTGGAGATTCAGCTATGTCTATGTGTGTACCTTGCACCAAACAACAAACCACATCACACTTTATGTTTTCGGTACAAAAATGATAGTATGTATTTGTATGAATTTAAACTTGCATTGTGGAGTTAATTGAAGACATGCTTAGTAGTGTACCAAAGAATCTTCACTAAACGTGCATTTTATTTTATTTTCTTCAGAAAATCTTAGAGACATAATATAATGTGTGGTAGTTAATGTAGGAATGGTGTCAAAGATGGCAGCTTGATTATGCTAGTTCTTTCGGTTATATTCTTTGCCCATCCTTTTATAAAGAAGCATACAACGTTAATGTGAATTCTCTCCATTGATTATCCCTTTATTTACATGTATTTTTTTTGCGTTGAAACCCATATTTTATTTTTTCTTTTTGCAGCTGGAGAGTGAGCTTGGGTATTCTCAAAGCTGCAGCACAACTGCACCCACGAGCATCTTTTTCTCTTGAGGTAAAAAAACGAGGCACGCTGAATCGCCAGTCTGCTGAGCTATGGGCTGCAAAAAAGAACATGCCCTAAACAGCATTGCACTTGCGCGAACTTGCCACTCCTGGTGATTATTCCTGTCAGGCAGGTGCAAGAGGAGGGCATAAACTAAGCTCTCAAGTGGGCTAGGCCTCCCTCCACTACTCCACAAAGTGGCCCTGTATCGAAGTGCTCTGCTCGTAACACTTCTTTTGAGGGAAAAGGAGATCCTCAATCATGAGCTCTTCATTAGGCAAAGGTTAGTGCTCTTGTTTCCATAAATAGTAGAACCATCTCCAAGTACATGCATGTCCTATATATAGTTTGCATACTCTAATCTCTGTAGCAATATATACTTGCATTGCATGCTAACTTGCTATTAGTATCAAGGGTGAAGTTGACTGCTGGTTCATTCACTTGTCTTCTCATCATCACAGTCACAAGGAAATTAAGTGGCAACGTAGAGACCAAACCATCGCCAAACAAACTGAAATAAACATGTAACCCAACCCAATCTGCTCTAGACAAATTGACATTATCTCATTCGTCTTTCTAGCTAGAAAACACCTAACAAAAGGAGACCACCCACCATAAAGATATACTAGTAGTTTATATTATTCCTCTTATCTGGAAGAGGTTATATATAGGCTTTGAGATGGCAAGCATATTTTTTCAAATCACAATACAACATAGTCGCCCGTATACTTCCGAAGGCTCAAAATTGAAGAAGTCACCACAGACACTTAGTTTTCGGTGGGCATGTTACCTACTAGTAAAAGAATGACGCCGTTAAATCCTATAATAATTCTAGAAAATACGAGCACTTGTATGAAATCGAGGACACCTGAGTGGATATGTTTCACCACAAGAAACCTAATTAGTTGATCTACATTCAGTTTACATCATGCCCATTCTTTCGGTTACCGACAAGTGAATTTCTTTCACTGCATTGAAAAGGGCCAGTGAGTTGTAACACCCAAGGAGTAGTAGAAAGGTCTGGTAGTGTAGGATGACCATGGCCATGGTTGTGTGACCTCGCTCGTGGCGTAAATGGATTCAGTTGAGCAAAGTAGGTGAATTTTTTGTATCTTGGCCCTTTTCAAAAAACCTTTTTATAAATAGATCCCTCGATAAACTTTTTCCATGAATAGACCGGAAGCACAGCGTCATAGGACGATGCTAGACGTAAGTCGCTTAACGTCATGTCAGTGCACGCTGAACCCCTACCACGTGAGCTATGACGCCTGGCGCAGTAGCCGACAGAGCTTGGCGTCACATTAGTTAATGCCGAGCCACAGACCTCGACGTGGCCTGACTCAATGCCGAGGTCTGGGCACTTAAAGCCACGTTGGCCCTCTGCTTCCTCTTTCCCTCCATTCTTCCACACCCACGCTAGCTCTCTGTTCTCTCTCTCCTCACTCCCCATGAATCGTAACCTCTAAATCTGGCCCTAGGAAAGCTGTTCTCGCGTGACATCTCTTCCCTGAGGTAATCCTCCTTGCTCTCTTTCATTCTATCTGGTTGGATTTAGTTGCTTTGGTCGATCGTTTTTGGTAAGGACCCTAGGCTAGGGTGGTTTCGTTGGCTTTTGTGATTAATATGTGAAATGCATGTGTTCAATTGTTTATTTATTCAACTATGATATACTTCATAGCAGGTTTTGTTTCGTGATTTATGGCTACAATCCTAAACTAGTTGTGCATTGGTGGTTTAGGTCTAGGTCTGTAATGTTGGGAGGACTAATGTTGTAGCCAATTGAACTGTGCGAAGTATTAGCCAATAATTGGGGTTATATGTTGTTGCTTACAATATTGTGAAGTATTAGGTAGAACGGATATTGAGTAATTTGTTGTATGAAACTAACGAAAATTTTGGTTAGTGGATGGAAGTATATTTTCTGATTATAGTTAATGATATGAGCTTGGTATGTGACTATATTTGTTGCGTGATGGCTATAGATGGATAAACTAGTGAGGTTATGAAGGGAT